CTTCCACGGTCCCTGATCCTGTGTTAACGTTTCAGTTTCAGCATAGATAACCCTAGTCTAGACTGGAATCGTTCGAAAGAGTTTTCTCAGGATATTTTTGGTCGTGCCCGGAATCTTCGGCTACTCGGTAGTAGTAGCTGGTTTGCCCTTTTTCCTCAAAGCATTCGCAAGACGCGCCTTAACCATCGCAGCTGTAAATTCTCAATCTGAAGAGACAACGGCTGTACACCAAGGCTCTCTTCGATATCCATGTTCTAGACCATGTCGAGACGCATGAACCTACTGATTCGTCTCCCAAAGCAATTTCATTCTCCTGTACCAGTGACCCACAACTCACGATCGAAGGTGAGCGTCTGGATGAAGACTGACTAGAACACAAACAGCTTACTCGTCAGACTGTTTTGCCTTAGTGACAACGGTTCAGGCAACATCATTAAATACGCCGCTATCTATTCCAATTCTACGATCAACTTCCTTCTCCCATTGCCCATCACCAGCAAACACGACCCGAGGTACGTGAGATTTTCCTCCTGTTATGCAGGTTCTCCATTTATCTGAGGAGTGTAACAGGAAAATGAGAAACCACTATGGATTTAGCTTTAGATATGCTGACGCGCATGCTAACCACATCTAACTCTAGAAAACAGTTTCAGAAGATGCCAACAAAACAAGGTCGCCTGGAAACAGCAACCTTATCATCTTGAAATCTTCTATGCTGATACACTCGTCGCCTCGGCTGCCTGACTATCCTCTCAACGTACAAAGAGAAGAGGGGACAGAAAGCAGCTTTACCTAAGACCCAAGGTTAATGCCCTTTACTCTGACGCAGCCCTCTCATTTAATGTACCATGATTGGAAGGCTTGTAGCAACTGACCAGCAAACCAATGCTTGCCGGGACGTCAGTAAATTTTTCGTGAAAACCAGTCACAGGCTTTCTCCAGGTCTACAAACATATGTAAACCGGGTGAGCGATCTCCTTCGATTTCTGAACAGTCTGACGTAAGGCGAAGATCTGAGTAGAAGTGCTTCGGATTCACCCGATTCCATATTCTTGCTCTAGA